TGAGAAGATCCCGTCTCGGGGACTTAACGAAGGTGACAACGCAACTCTGGCCGTCACTTCCGGCCTGCGGCCCCGCGCCATGTGGTGGCCCTGGGCTCGCCCTCCCCGCTTCCGCCCCCGGCCACCACCCAGGGAAGGGGCCAGCTTGGTCGCCTGTAGTGGCCCAGCCTCTGCCGGGCGCTGTGGGGTGAGTGTCTCACGCAGCGCGTGGCCTCGGGACAGCCGCGCGCTGAGTGCCGCCTGCGGCCCAGCCGCTCCCTGCGGGGCGCGCGACAGCGCCTGCCCGAGAGAGAACAAATGACGGCCACACACGCGAACCACAACAAAGCCTTCCGGGGGTTCCGACCGACAAGCAGCCGCAAAGGGGACGCAGCGCGGAGGCGGCTTCCCCACCGCACCCGCACCCGCACCCGCACAGGCGGGCGCGACACCTCCATACAGCCCGTTCGGCCGCTGAACCTGCGCCTGCTTCTCAATTTGCCAGACATGGTGCATCCACTTATTCTGGGCATGATCACATTATGTCATACTGGTTTTTCATTAGGTGTAATTTTCTTCTAAGGCAAGCAGCCCACACCAGGTTACGCTTCATGAGGGTGGCAGCATGAACATTTCTTATCACCGTTCACCAGTGCCTGCATGGTGACACACATGTCCCTCCCCTGGGCTCGAATGCACACAAGATGACACGCATGGTGGGGAGGGTGGCTCTCGTGAGGCACAGGGCAGGACTGCCTCAGGGCGGAGGCTACAATTCCACCAGCCCACCCCCTACATCTGTGAACCTGGGCGCAGACCCACGACCTGTGCCTAAAGTTCCTCTGATAAGACGGGGTAACAATGCACATGCTCTGGCACGTACCACATGGGATCCTAGTCAGCCACTTCTATCTAATAGTCTAGTCAGCTTTCGTTTTTTAAATCAATTAATGCCATCAATAAATTGAGTAAAAAGTTTTCTTTTTTGTCAGGGGCAGCTATAAAGGGGGCATGAGATGAGAAAAATAATGAAACACCACAATGTCCATGAGTCACTACAGCCATGAAAAAGTACCCTGCAAAACAAGACACTGCCTTACACAAAACTATCACAGCCCAGTTCTTCTTCAAATTAAGCTAACTGAACTTTCCATTATCTAAAAGGTGTCTCTTTGTAATTATAACCATAAGACAATCCTAAATTATTTTCTGAATTTCTTACTATTCTAAATAAATTAATTCTGTATATTGTGACCATCACTTAAAAATGAAAAAGTCACTTTGAACAACAAACTACTTGGCCTATTACTGAAATGACAGTTGAACAGAAATACCCTTTAAAAAGGTGATTACCTCAGATTGCTTTCATCCATACATAATATATAATCGAATGTGGCAAAGTCTTCTTTGGTAACCTAAAATTAAATAAGAAGTCAAAAACACAGTGTTCATACAATCATATTCATACAATTATATTCATACAATCAAGCCTAGAAAATCCAAAGCAATTAAAAAAAACCTATATCAGAATCTGTTACATAAAAACTCAATTTAGGGCACTTTAAAATGAAAAGAGTTAACCTATTTCTTAAAATTATACTGCAAAGAAATTTTATAAAGTTCCTGGAGTAAATATGAAAGGGTATAATACAGAGACACAAAGTTTATACACTTTCAATTTGAGTACAATGTATAATTAACATAAATATCACACAAATGAAAATGAAAACACAACCACCCCAAATCTACGGGACACTGCAAAAGCACTCCTAAGAGTAAAATTCACGCAACACAGGCCTACCTCAAGAAATGAAAATCTCAGTCTAACTTTACACCTAGAAGAATTAGAAAAGGATCAAAGCCCAAATTGAGTAGAAGGAAGAGAGTAATAAAGATCGGAGTGGACGTAAATGAAATAGAGACTAAAAAAAATAATAGAAAATATCAATAAAATTAAGAGCAGGTTCTCTGAAAAGATGAACAAAATTGATAAACCTTTAGCCAAACTCAAGAAAAAAAGAGGGTTCAAATAAAATCAGAAATGAAAGAAGTGACAACTAACACCACAGAAATACAAAGGATTAGAAGGCAATACTATGAACAATCATATGCTAACAAACTGGACAACCTTGAAAAAATAGATAAATCACTAGAAACGTACAATCTTCCAAGACTGAATCAAGAAGAAACAGAAAATGAGACCAATTACCAGCAACAAAATCAAATCAGTAATCAAAACCCTCCCAATAAACAGAAGTCCTGGACCAGATGGCTTCACAGGTGAATTTTACCAAATAGTCAAAGAATTAATACCTATTCCTCTCAAATTATTCCAAAGAATTGGAGAACAGAGAAAGCTCCCAAACTCATTCTATGAGGCCACCATTACCCTGATACCAAAACCCGACGAAGACACCACAAAAAAGGAAAGTTCCAGGTCAATATCCCTGATGAACATGGATGCAAAAATCCTCAACAAAATATCAGCAAACCAAATTCAACAATACAGTAAATAGATCATACACCACGATAAAGTGGGATTTATTCCTAGGATGCAAGGTTGTTTCAATATCCACAAATCAATTAATGCGACACACCACATTAACAAAATGAAGGATAAAAATCCTATGATCCCAGCACTAAACGCATCCATTTATGATAAAAATTCTTGGGAAATTGAGGGTGGAGGGAACATATTTTAACATAATAAGGACCATATGTGACAAAAACCCACAGCTAACATCATACTCAACAGGAAAAGCTGAAGGCTCTTCGTCTAACGTCAGGAATGAGACAAGGATGTCCACTTCCACCAATTTTATTCAACATAGTATTGGAAGTTTCAGCAATAGCAATCAGACAAGAAATAAAAAGCATCCAAATTGGAAAAGAAAAAGTAAAACCGTCACTATTTGCAAATGACATGACACTATATACAGAACCCTAAAGATTCCACCAAAAAACTGTAATAAATGAATTCAGTAAAGTAGCAAGATATAAAATTAATATTCAGAAATCAGTTACATTTTTATACATCGATAACAAACTACCAGAAAGACAAATTAAGAAAAAAAATCCTGTTTATAATTTCATCAAAAAAATAAAAAGACTCAGGAATAAAATGAACCAAGGAAGTGAAAGACCTGTACTTGGAAAACTAAAAGACACCGCTGAAAGAAACTGAAGACACAAATAAATGGAAGTCTATACTGTGCTCATGGATGGGAAAAATTAACATCATTAAAATGTCCATTTTACTCAAAGAAATCTACAGATTCAATCCCTATCAAAATAACAATAGCATTTTTCACAGAACAGGAACAAATAGTCCTAAAATTTATATGGCTCCATAAGAGATCCTGAATAGCCAAAGCAATATTGAGAAAGTTGGACGTATCATGCTACCTAATATCAAACTATACTACAAGGCAACAGTAATCACATAAATCAATGAAACAGAATACAGAGTCACACACATATGGTCAATTAATTTATGACAAAGAAGCCAAGCATATACAATGGGGAAAGGACAGTGTCTTCAATAAATGGTGTTGAGAAAACTGGATATGTGTAAAAAAATGACATTAGACCACTTTCTTACACCATATACAAAAATAAACTCAAAACGGATTAAAGAGTTAAATGTAAGATAGTTAAAACCACAAAACTATAAGGAAACACTCTGATACTGGTCTGAGCAAAGACAACAAAAGGAAAAATAAACAAAAGGGACTACACCAAATGAAAAGGCTTTTGCACTGCAAAGGAAACCATCAACAGAACAAGAGAGCAACCTACCGAATGGGAGAAGATACCTGCCAATGATACATCCAATAAAGGATTAATATCCAAATTACATAAAGAACTTACATAGCTCAACATCAAAAAAACAATCCGATTAAAAAGTGGACAGAGGACCTGGCTCAACATTTCTCCAAAGAAGATATACAGATGTCCAACAAGCACATGAAAAGATGCTCAATATCACTAACCATCAGGGAAATGCAAATCAAAACCACAGTGAGATACTACCTCACACCTGTCAGAATGGCTACTGTCAATATATCAACAAACGACAAGTGTTGGTGAGGATGTGGAGAAAAGGGAGCCATCAGGCACTGCTGGTGGGACTGCAAATGGGTGCAGCCTCTACGGAACACAGTATGGAGATTTCTGAAAAACAGAGCTACCATATGGCCTGGCAATTCCACTTCTGCGTATTTATCCAAAGACATCCAAAAACACTAATTCAAAAAGCTATACACGCCCCGACATTCATTGCAGAATATACAGAAGCAACCTAGGAGTCCACTGACGGCGAATGGGTAAAGGAGATGCGGCACATGTAGGCAACGGATTATTAGCCATTAAAAAGAATGACGCCTTGCCATCTGCAACGACATGAATGGCTCTGGAGGGATATCATGCTCAGTGAAATAAGTCAGACAGAAAAAGACAAATACTGTACAATTTCACTTATAAGTGGAATCAAACAAAAGAAAATAAGTGAACAAAACAGAAACCAACTCAAAGATACAGAGACAAACTGACGGTTGCCAGATGGAAGGGCGCAGGGGAATCGATGGAAAAAGTGAAAGAGATGAGTAAGTTCAAACCGCCAGTCGTAAAACAGTCACAGAGACGTAAGTACAACACACAGCATATAGTCAGCGATGTCGTAGCAACCATGTATAGTGCCATGGGTACCAGACTTATCGCGGTGATCACTCTGTGAGGTATATAAATGTCTAAGCACTGTGTTATACACCTGAAACTAATATCGTACGTCAACTATGATTAAAAAATAAGTAAAATAAAATTAAGTGTCACACATTCTACCCCCTTCAGTATTTTACCCTATTTTTCACCCTACAAGTACTTAATATCCTAGCTCTGTGAAAAATGCCCTGGTGTATTCAACTCTGACACACGTGTCTGATGCTGGGTGTGTATCCAACAGAACTGCACGCAGGTGTTCCCTGAAAGACATGCCCCAAAATAATCACAGCAGCACTGCGTCCCAAACTGGAAACAGCCCAATGTCCACCCAGAGTAAACTGAACGGTAGCAGAGCTGTAAAATGATCCTGAATCTGGCATGGACATGAGTAAGCCTCTGCCACACGGAACACCGCAGAGCCTCAGAGCAGAGAAGCTGACAGGATGAGACGCTGTGGCATCCACTGCCGTCAGGCTGGAAAGATAGGACAGACTTTTAGCGGTGACCTCTGGGGGAGAGGGGGCAGTGCTAGTCATGCTGTAAAAATGCACTGAGCCCACACGGACAATCTGTGCACATGTCGGACGTTTACTGAAAAGAGGAAAGAATGCACAATAAAGTAAACATCTCCACCGAACTGCCCGGACGTGACAGTCACTCAGAGAGCCGACTGCATTCGCGAAAAGAAAAAGCCCCTGAATCTATTCTGTTTATTAAACCCAAGTGGAAAGTACTGGGGAAACAAACATTTTAAAAAATAAAATCGTTCTCACACAAATTGCGACTACTGCTAAAGAGAAAACTTGTAAATGTTAGCAAGATTCTATAAAATTAAAGATCTGATATAATACTGATTTACAAAACATACCTTGCAAGTACCTTGAAATTTTTGAAAAATCATTGAGAAATTTTCTTAAAAGCGACAGGAAAAGAAAAAGGCAAAAGACAGATTCTGTAGAAACGCTACCTCTAAAACTGGTAATTACAAGTGTTCTTAAAAAAATAGAAAGTTTCTAGCTTTGGTTTTTTATGGCATGTGTGTTTAAAATACTTCATTTGTACCCACTTTTATTATATAATGGTGTATGGAAAATCATCCGATCTTGGTGAAAATAGAAAATGTAAAAGTATGATTGCTCACAATTCTGAAGAACTTCTCAAAATAAATCTACACTCTTTAAAAAATAGAAAAAAGATACTAGCAACGTCTGCAAAAGCTTGAAGAAATTAGGAGGGACAAACGATAAAATGTTTACTCTTCTGTCCAGTGAAAATTCCACTTAAAAAAGTCAGGTCCTTAAGGTAGTGAATTTAAATAGTAAATTGTTAACACAGAGAGTCAAATGACACAGCTAGAAATTAGAAGGTCACAGATCTCAGAGTCAATTTATCTAAGCCCAAAATAACGTGTATTACTAATATCTGAGACATCATTAATGTATTAAAAGTGTTTCTCAGACAATTTTGCTTTGTGAATTTTCTGGCTCATACCTCGCTACGTTTTTATTAAAATAAATAAACTGGTGGTCAAAGCCCAGCTCTACCATTTGAAGCTGTGTAACCTTCAATAAGTCATTTGTTTTCTCTCCAGAACTCAGTTTCTTGCTCTGCAAAATGAGTTTACCAACTACTCCCTTTCCTAATGAAATAATGGAGAGGAGAAAAATTGAGACGATCAAAATTAAAAATGCAATGCTGTGTGGCAAAGCAATCTGAAAAGCTTTGTAAGATTTAGTACAACGATTAAAGGACCTTTATCCAGTCTTAAAAAAAGTTCTGGTTCAAGCACTAACAGTAAGTTACAGTTCTCACACTGCCATCCACACTTGTAAATGTGTGATATTTGACAAATGATGCAGCTTTTTGAAGGCCTCAAAAGCCCATCTCTGGACGTGGCCTGTGTCCTCTGATGCTAACCCACAGCCTTGCTAGGCCGACAGAGCCAGCACATTTCCTTGGGTTAGATACAAAAGGAAGTGACAAGATTTAGCCTGATTGTTAAAAATGAATCTCCATAAAATAATCACAGTGATAAAAATAACTGCCTCTGCAGAACAATGTACAAGGCATTTTGCATCAGAACTGGAGCCAATTTCTTTAGGGGCTGGTGCCTGTGGTTATGGAAGGTTCCAGAACACACACCTGCAACAGCTAGCTCCTAGTGACAGATGCCACAAGGCACCCATGGGCTAGATGTCTCCACTAGGACAGTTGTACTGAAAACCTCACGCTCTCCCGTGGTTACCAGGTGGCCATTCAAATTAGTTAAAAATTAAAATTCAGTCCCTCCAGCACAGCAGTCATATTGCAAGTGGGCAACAGCCACATGCAGCGTGCACAGTGGACAGAGCACACCTCCCCATCACGGAAGGTTCTCCTGGGCAGTGCTGCCGGACCCACACCCGAGGTGCGACTGCCCAATGCGACGTGTCCCCGTAACACGTGCCCCTCGCTCCGAAGGCACCTGCCGGATGAGACTGTTCCATGTACATCACAGAACTCTGTCCTGGCCACAAACTGCTAATGAAGCAGACTGGACACGAAGACTTAAGTGTTTAAAAACCGCACTGGTAAAAACAAACGGGAGACCACAGCGAGGCTGTCCAGTTCTTAGCCAGGGCTCTGTTAAAAATTATGTAATTATGTGTGTTTTAATCAGTCAATTCTGAAATCCCCAACGTCTTTCAGAACTGTGGCACCAGAAGTAAAACAAAATGGGTCAGTGTGGTAGGTAACCTGGCCAGAGGTAAACACACTCATGCACAGGTGAGTTGGGTAAGCCTCTCGCAACTCCTCAAGCTGTGGGGCTCTACGTACAAAATATTAAACGAGGTCTCGTCTACCTGTCTTGCTTTATGGGCTGTGTCAATGCCATGGTTTCTTAGGCAGCTCACAGCTCTGGGATCTGGTGACCGGCCCACGTTCCAGTCAGAAACAGCGCCGCTGTCAATGACCCACTGCAACACAAAACACACAAGTGCACCTTCAAGTCCCAGTACGGTACCTGCCGGGCAATGTGACTCATGGGGACACCGTGCTTCTTCATGCAGTTCTGCCCTCGGTAATCAGGAGGGTTTCCTAGCTCATACGTGGATGTCGCTGCGCTGTCTATCCTCCACTGCGGGGGAAAAAAAGATTTTTTTTCGCCATTTCCTGCCCCGAACGCACTCAGGTTGGCCTCGTTAAGACAGCGAATGGTACTCACAGTATCTGACACGTTCTGATCAGTCACAAGTTTTCTGAAAACTGCTTCTGCAATGGGTGAGCGACAGATGTTACCTTAAAAAAGGGGAGGGGCAGAAAGTGAGCATCAGGTTTGATGGGAGGGTGGGTGCCAACTCCCAGCATGATCCGCGACCCACGCACGCACTGCCGGCCGTGGCCCCGAGGGGAGCCAGTGGCGCCCACAGCAGTGCGGAGGAGAGCTCGCGCACCTCCGCCGGCAAAACCCACGTTCAACGATTTGATGGCGACTGTCCAAGTACTCAGAGTGCAAAGGACAAGGACATCAGAAAAACAATCACGACCAAAATCACTGCTTATCAGGATGCTGTCAATGACCTCGATGTAAGTCATGAAGTCAACGAAGTGGGCTGCGACCAGCCTATTTTAAAATGAGAAACAACAGCGGTAAAACTACGTCCTTCGAGCGTCCGCACACACCAAGGCCTTCCGCTCTTTCACAGAACGCACAGCCCACGTCGCAGGCAGCCAGCCGTCCCGCATGAGCCCTCGCCAGTGCTGTGGCTCCAGGAGTCGGGCACTGAGTTCAGGTACAGCCACCAGCCTGCCACGCCTCCCAAACTCAGCTGCACACCTGGGGACCTCCAGGGCCACCCTCACTTCAGCCCAGAGTCCCACAGGTTCAGGAATTCTCTAGAAGGGCTCGGAATTCAGGAGATGCTATACTTATAACTGTAGTTTTATTACAACCGAAAGATGCCAACCAGTACCAGCCAGAGTGCGAGCACGGGGCAGATTCTGGAAGAGTCCCTGACGGGGAGCTTTCTGGTCCTCAGAGACAAGCCCCTCCTGCTGTCAACATGCGGCAGCACTCGGAGCCCCGCCAGCCCGGATGCTCGCCAGGGTTCCAGAGCTGAGGGTTTACTGGGTTTTCATTAAGTAGCCACAACTGAGGCTGGACTCAGCTTCCAGCACGCCGTCCACATCCTCAGCGGCTCCATGCAGGCCCCCAAACACCCAACACACTCCTACCACTCCCCCAAAATTTAAGGTGTTTGGAGTTACCTCCCAGGAGCCAGGACAAAGTCCATACCTTTCATCAGGTGGGACCAAATTCCTTGCTACACAGGGGAAAAAGACATAAAATCTCAAAATATTTCTACTGTGTGCCAAGTAATGTATTTACAGGAGATAGTTAACTATAATATAAAGAAGGAAAGAAAGGATAGACAAGCAATATCCTACAAGAGCACAGGAAAAGATTCTAAAAAGCATAAACAAGGTAAGAAAATTTCTTATCAGAAAGAGGGAGGGGACTTCACTGGCACAGGCTGGGGATGGGCATTGAAACAGGGTGATCGTCTGCTTCAGGTACTGAGAGTAAACACCTGTGAGCTGACGGGCCCAGGGACAGGGACCCCAAGCCGCGGTCAAAACTTGGACTTAACATATCCACAGCAGAAGAAAGGCAAGGTTTGGGGAGAAGAGTAAGGAGATTTATTCCACACACATATTTTGTAGGCCTGCTACTGACGAGTCGGGCACCAGCCGGGGCAGGAAGAGAGCAGCTGTTTAGGGCACTGGCCCTTCGCACAACGCAGGAAAACAGGAGTCCCGAAGAGACTAATGTGAAATAGCAAGGAACAGACAGAAACTGAGGGAAGGACTTGGTGACAGAAAATGGAGGGAGGGAAGAGAGAAACTGCAAGAACAGACAGCATTAGATGACAGACTTTACTCTCTCCTCATATCAGAACTGTCTGGTTCATAATACTACACAGAATTAGGATCCTGTAAAGTACTGTGAAACAACTCATTCCCCACTATAGGAAACCAATTCACTGACTTAACTACAATATTCTTCAATTTCTATATGAAGACAGGAATTCGAATGTTCTCTAGAAGCTGGCTGTGTTGTGACGTTTTTCCTTTTGACATCTTAAATATTTGTTTAATTTTTAAAACAGGTATTATCATCCGCACTCTTTTAATTACTGAAAGGTTTCCTACAGATGTGTCTTTATTTACTTGCGATTATATAGCCTGGGGAATACTTTTAACAGCAATCACGTTTCCAAGTTAAGACAACTGTTATTTTTTTGGAACTCTAGAATAATAGATGTCTAATATCTCAGCATCTAAAAACATAAAAATAGACTAGTCTCACCCCTTTACAAATAATTCTGATTAACTGTGAAATAAGTTTTTCCACAACAAAACCAAAACATGGACCATTCACTGCCTTAAAGTTAAGGCACATTCATCCACACTTTTCTCCCACATAGCTGTATTCACAGCAAGATGATGTGTGTCTATCAATGTGGACAGAAAATTTACTACTACAAAGATTAGAAATAAAGTCATAATATCTAAAAGAGCAACAGACAAGTCATCTTGCTTGCTTATAACTCGCCCTCTTGATTTCAAAAGCTGACATCACCACATCAATATTAAAGATGGAGTACATCAGTAAACCACAGTACTTCATGGTTCACCTATGGAAAATAATATAATATAGAAATGTTATCTTCGAATTTCTTCTAAGAAAATTTTCTATCTGTGAAGTTCCAAGTTCGTTTTTTTCCAAATTAGGCAGTGCGATATATACTTATTCAACACCTTCATCTCAAGGACAGACTCAGAAAAAAATTAAATTCTCCAAGGGTACGGGCTGTGTCTGTCCTACCCAGTGAGGCCCCCAACACCGAGCACAGCATGTGGCACATACACAGCACTCACTAATCACCCATTCGGAGTAAGTCACCCATATTCGAAAGTCATCTGCCATCACGAATATGCAGTATCACCTCCGACCGTGAGGGCACAATCTCCTGTATGTCTCTATCTCACAAAAACATAAACCCTGTTAATAATCTTGCCAAAACAAGGCAAGTCCCTCGGTGTCATTAGCCTAACCAGTGAAAAACATTTGCCATTACTCTACCCTTCAGTCTCAAAAAGGTCCGAATACATGCTTTGAAAGAATACAATTTTTACACTGCAAAGATATACCACTCTCACTGTCCCGTGTACAGGTACCAGGTGAAGTGGCACGCATCGACCCGGCCACACCCCAGAGCCTGAGCACTCCCCACCCGCTGCACTCGCTGCCGCGTGTGGCCGCGGTCCTCTGCGGCCCTCCGCCCTCCCAGTCTAATCTCAGCGCCACAGCTGAACGCGTGTTTTCGAATTTCCCACCTCTGCTCCAAACTCTACGCGGGCTTATCTGGTCGGGTTGGGCCAAGTCCTCACATGGCCTCACCGGACCTGTCCGCCTTAGGCCCTGAAACAGGGATCCAAAACATGGCTTGTGGCCCACCTTCGTGTACGGCCCACAGAGCTAAGAATAATCTCTACAGTTTTAAATAGATGGGAAAAAACCTCAAAAGTAGAATATCCCGTGACATGAGGAAATTACATGAGATTCAAATCCCCGTGTCCATAAATAACGTTCTACTGGAATGCAGCCATCCTCTCTGGCTCCTCACAGAGTCTGCAGACCCCGCCCCAGAGCGCTCACTGTGGGCGAGGGTCTGACGCCCGCAGCTGTACTCACGCGCCACTAAGCAGTATCCACCGGAGTGCGGAGGAGCCGGGCAAAGTTGCCACTTCAATTACCTGCCAGTCCTCAGGTAGAGATGAGAGTCCTGGCTGAAGGAGGCTGCTGGCCCAGGCTACTGGCCCAGCCTGCGGCCTCCTGCCGACTCCTGAGGGCCCTCTGGGCCCGGCGTCCCTTTCCAAACACCCTGGACTTGCCTCCTCACCTCTTTCAAGCCTTTGCTCAGACGTTACCTTCTGGGTGAGGTTTCACTCCCCTCCCCTCCCCCCTTCCTGCTTCACTGTACTTAACACACACCAACGGGTAACCAAGTACGTGACTGCAGATGACAATGTGAGCTCTGGAGAGGCAGAGATTTTTGTCTGCTTCGCTCACTACTCTATTCCTAGCACTCGGAGCAGTGCCTGGGAATACAGTCGTTGCTTAAAACCAAACTGTGCCAAAGCTAAACACATACGAGCATACGCACCCCCTTAACAGACACCACGGTGCATTATGTCAGCACAAGCAACAACACTTAGTAAAATAAATGAGGCAACGGGATCCTAATAGGTGCCCAACCTGAAACGAACTGCCCTTTAATAAACTAGTTGATTCCATCAGCCAGCCTTCCTTCTCCCCTCATGGAAATTCAATTCTGCAAATACCTAGTGAGCATCGTATGTCGTCCCAAAGCTGGAACTAGAAAGAAAAATAAGCCCCACTTACTGCCCCCAAGATGCCGAAATCAAGCAGTGCTCTCAAGAGGCTCTCAAGTAATTACAACAGAATCTGTGCAACACAAGACGTCTACACAAGTTGGAGGAACAACTACCTCCACACAGGGGAACTGAGAAGAGTTAAAGAAGGGGACGTGGGGTCTGACGTGACAGAAAGGCTTTCCAGGCAAAATGCAAAACAGGTGACCAGAAAGAGCCACACAATCAAAGGTGCGGTGAGTGTCTTAAGTGCTGGGTAACAGCAAATATACGTGACAGGGACTGTGCAGAGGGTTAGGAAAAGATAAGTGAGATTAAGTGGACAATGCAGACAGGCTTCTGTCGTCTTCCAGAAGGGTGCGCCATAAAAACCAGCAGAAACTCGACTCCTCAGGAAATGTAGACTCATCAGAAGATTTTAAGCAAGAGGGCCACTGAGGGTTCAGCGTTGAGGTTCGGATGGAGAGTTGAGGGACACAGCCTTGTGGAGCCTACCCAGGGAAGAATCCTGAAAACTAAAAGGAACAGGAATTCGATTCTGAGAAGGAAGACTAACTTGAAATTCTCATAATGAAAACGATTCTGAGCCGGAAGGTACCTGAAGGGTTAGGTGTTAAAAGTACTTTCGTTCACCGGCTCACGAGTCTGATTACACAGAGGTCTGGAGAAGCGGGTCTCCTTGGTTTGGCTTTGACAACCAAAAAGCCCTAAACCCTTGCGCTCCATCTGCCTTTGGCTCAGATTCATTTATAAGCGTGGGCCATGGAAACCAGCCAGGAAACCAGTGTTGTCACGGGTCTCAGAGCCCTTAAGAGAGAGCATCGCTCCAGCCGCTTCAGGTCTATCCAACGAGGGGTTAACAGGGAGGGATTCCAGGCAGCTCGTGGTGAGGGTGCTGCGGGTGAGAGGGAGCCGGGACTTGGAGAGGGCCGGGCAGGTGAGGGGACCCGCCTCGCACAGCAGGCCAAGAAGACCCGCCCGAGGCGCCCCAGCACACCCTCGGGGTACGGGTCTCCAGCCTCCTCCCGATCCCCGTTCCTGGCCCAGAGGCGCGGCCCAGCGGCGCAGCCCAGGGCGCACGAGGCCCACCCCAACCCTCCGGGAAACTCAGCGTGGGCTCGACTACGGCCGGCTCACCCAGACACACGAACAGCACCGACTTGGGGACCCGCTCGGCCATCTTCCCGCGCAAACTCAGAGGCGCCCACTGACCTCGCAGGAACCCTTCTGGCGCGGCGCGTGCGCATTGCGAGCGTCCCGCCCCGCGCGCCTGCGCCGTGCGCCTCAGCGCGGCCCTGCACGTCGGGCTCCGGCGGCGCGATGGGGGCGGGGCCGAGCGTCTCTTGGGGGGAGGACGGAGGGGCGTGGCCGGGCGTCGCTGGCGGGGGCGTGGCCGGGCGTCGCCGGAGGGCAGGGAGGGAGGGGCTTCTGGGAGGGGGCTGGGCTGAGAGCATCCGGCACGCGGGATGGGGCTTCCGGAAGGGGGCGTGGGGCGCGGTCGGGAGGCACCTGGACGCGTGGGCGCCCAACGCTCGAGGGAGTGGTCACACGAGGGTGTGCGAGCGCGCCCGCCCCCGGCCCGCCGCACGAGATGGGCTGTGGGGGCCGCAGAGCCCTATCGGAGGGGCGAGGTCCTGAGCTGGTCTCCGCGGCGCTCGGAGTGTGAGGGGCCTCTCAGGGCCGGGTCGGACTGCGCCCTCCTGGTTTTAGGTGAACGCCCCCTCTTCCCGGGCCTCGCGGCCGGAACGTGAGGCTCGTCATCAGGAGTGAGAGGGGCCCCTCCTGGACCGAGACCCCTGTTCTGCCCCCAGTCCCCGGGTCGGAACCGCAGCTCTCAACCGTCCGCTCTGCCAGAGTTGTCCCAATTCTAAAGAGATGAGATGCTTTAGAAGCCACCTTCGGATTGACAAAGTTGAGCACACACCTTCTCTAGCTGCTACCCTGGGGATTGAGCTGGTTCTGCCCTGCATTACCTGTGTCAGGTGTGCACTGAGCTAGGGCCGGTCCCTGCCCTGGGAGGCGGAGCCGAGCGGAGTGTGCCCTTCCTCTTCCTGGGTAGGTGGCCGCAGGTGGAGGGGCGCCGGAGCGGAGCAGGCTCGGGGTCACAAGTGAGTACAGGTGTCGGCGACGCCGCTGAGCCTGCCCTAGATCTCGACCACCTCCTCCTTCCCCTTTAAAAAAAGTTCTGCTAGAGAGGGTAAATCGTTGGCAAAAGAGGGCCAGAAAAACGATGATGTTTCTGGAATTTTTTCAGTTACGCGTCCACTGACACTGAGATTGTGCCTCAAACTGTCAAAAGTTAGGATTAGCCAGTTCCCCTGGACTCTCTGCCACTGTGCTTTTGATTCAAGTCTAGCCCCAACCATTTCAATTCTAAATCATTTTATGTTATTTGTAAATATCTATTATTTGAAAAGCCACGAATTCGTGTCTTTTCATTTCATTAGATGACATCCTAGAACTCTGTCGTGATGGTTTGGGTTTGGCGTGTGCTGGACTCATAGGGGCAGGAGGCAGAAAGATGCAATAATGTGCCTGGTGGGGTCACCTAAGTGAAGTGCCAGGCCCTCCACACTATCACCTGACCCTTGGGGAACCACTTGGGGTAAAGAGGTCGCTGAGAGCAAAAGAGTGGGCAAAGGCTGCCTCTAGGACCCCTGTGTATCTGTGCAGATGGTGATTTTTCCTTACATGAAGTATGAAACTGCTCCGCATTTGTAAATGATAATAAGGAAGTGAGATTTACCCTGCTGGCTGGAAATTTGTCATTTTCACTCCATTTCAACAAATACTTTAGTGTCACCACTGCTGCTACTAAGTCTGGGTTGAAAAGAATGATACAGACATGGGACCCCTGCTCACGGGGAGTCAAAATCTGATGGGCCCAGAAGGGCTGCATTGTTTTTCTCATGAGCGTATTTATTAGGATGTGGAATTCCGCATAGCCACTGACCGCGAGCTTGTTTACAAACTACTGTGTCGGAGGTTAAATAATCCAAGTAGTTTGTAACTTCCACCCAGTTTATCATGTTTAAGGAGAATGAGTTATTTGGTCTACTAATGTCTATTTAAACAAAATTTCTGTGAAACGTGTAAATACTACCCCTCATCTTTTACAGGATTGAAGAAATGATGTGAAAGAAATCTTTGCTCTTCAAGGGCAATTAGAGGCTTTTATTCCATTTAAGAAATCTTTATTCTTAGGAGATTTCTCACTATTTAGAAATTGGTGTTTCAAAAGGAAAGAAAGTTGATACAGGCGGAAGGGGAAGCAGGTGGAAGGGGAAGCCTAGGGCTGTCTGTGCCCACAGTGGCCACGGAAGGCCTTGTGCACCTTATTCGCAAATGCGTCACGATTGGACACAATCCCTGCAATTTAAGACCTAAGTACACTGCGTTTTCTGATTTCTTTGAGAAGAGTCTGCTTTCTACACCAGATGGTCTGACTAGGGTGGCATGTGTGGTCCTGCTCCAAGCCAGGGTCACCGGACTTCAGGTTTGAAAAGGGTAGAGTGGGCAGAAATCAAAGGTTTTCTTAGGCTGAAAGGTCTGCTTCTCTTCACTCCCTGCACCTGGGGTCAGGGGAGCTAGGGAAGCAGCCCCTGCCATTCAGATTCAAATGGTTAGTTTGCATTAGGAAGGTTACTGATCCCACCAGGAAGGTGGAAGGCGGTTTTTGATGTCTAGAACTGACAACTTTGTCTCAAGTCAAAGGCAGGAGTCAGACCGAGGCCACTGCAAGTTAAGAATTGGTTTCAGAAACAACAGCCATAGTTACCAGGCAGTGGTGTTTCTTGATAAAGGTTCTGAGCGAAAGACAACATTTTAAAGCTCTTCTAAGGATTACATAGATAGGTAAAGTTTCTTTTATTTTGGCTAAGATTTAATCAATTCATTCTATTTCCTTAGCAGCATTTTAGTTCCTTTGATTTTGGTTGGGATTTTATCGATTCAGTGAGTTAACCTCTATTTCATGTGAATTATAAGACTTAATAATTTGATTAATGTCTGATTAATGGAAATTTGGAAAACCATTTCTAAACTTCTAAATTTTTCCTAGAGGCATCCCTCAAAACTGGTACTCCATTGAGAAAAATAACATAATAGATGCTTGTTGATGGAAGGAGAGTTTGGGGAACCCTGAACTCTGGTGAGGGATGGGGGGAGGGACCATTATTCCAGACACTCGGTGGAGGGTAGACTGGGATCTGGTCAGTTTCCCGCTCCTCACACGCGGCCCTCCTCCCACCGTGTGGATTTCGTTCACGTAGGGCTCTAATGTCCTTGTTTGCCCACAGTGGCGCAGGCCTGAGTTTATTGCCCTGTGATCAATCTGTAAATTATTTCTATATCTTAGGCTCATTTCAAACTTTCGAGATTTCCAAAGTAAAAATTTTCTGGCTAGTATTTTATAAACTCTTCTTAATCAAAAAAAAAAATTTCTTAGTATGAAAGATTTCAAATATTTTAATTACTTTTTAAAGAAAACTTTAGAGCTAAGTTTCTTAGCTTGCGGTTTGGCAGCTATTCTTTTAGGAGGAAACTCAAATGTTTATAGCAAATTCTCTTTGCCTTGGAATTCAAGAGCCTACAGACTTTTATGGATGTTCAGATGCCTGCCGTGATTTAGAATTTACGAGGCTTCATTGGTAATGACCTGTATCTTGGTAACTTCGGCAGTGTAACGATATCAGCATTCTGATCAGACCAGGCTCTCTATGTCTCAAGGATCCATAGAGCCCTGGTTTGATGCTGGGGACAGGAATTGTGACTTACATCTAAGTTGTTATTATTTATTGGCTCTTTCAGGGAAATTCACTGTAACTCTGACCAGGCAATAGGACGCTATCAGAAATGGAGTCTATATTATTAAAACAAATTAGTCTCTTCTGTAGTTCAGCTGCACACAAGCAGCCTTGTCAACACCTGGTCACAGTGACATGGGACAGCATTTGAACTCTGGCTCTGGGACGGAGCCTTGTGGTCACTGGAGTCTTGTGGTCTGCAGGCCTCCTGATCTGCTTGAATCCCCCAATGTTTACAGAAGAAGCGTGGCCATCCGAGGGCCGGATGTTTGCAGTGGCCGCTCTCAGCTTGGAATTTGCTTACTTGGCTGGTTTAATTCTGCTTGGGTGATGGAGTTCACAGGAGAAAGTCTTTGCGGGGAGGGTCCGATTTATGTACCATTCACTGTGCTTTACTTGCACATGGCAGAAAATCTCATCCAGTTGGCACGAGCAAAAAAGTGTTTTCCGGTCCCAATGACTGAGCAGTTCAGAGCCTCTCGAGGCTTCAGCTGTGGCCAACCCTGGGCTCCAGCAGTACCAGCATAGCCAGCCCCCCTCAAGAGCTCTTGGGCATGGCTTTGTCCTCAGGCTTCCCACTTGGGGTGACAAACTTTTTTGCAGGTGCCTGGGGAAAAGGTAGTTCTGGCCACTCCCACACTAGGCCTCAGTCAGATACTGGCCATGGACCCACTGCGGCAATGAAGTTCTGCCAGGGCCGCAGGAGGAGATGCAGGCTCACCTGCCTCGGGCGAGGGGCAGCATGGGTGAGACAGACAGGCCTGTGCTGAGTCTACGATCAAGATGCACACTTCCCCTGGAGTTCCAAGAAAGGACATGGACGGCTCTGCGTGCCAAATCACAAAAGTCACACTCGATGCCAGAGCATAGGCGTTTATTATGGGCCTCATTTTTGGGTCCAGCTTGGGTCTCCGTGTCCCCCTGGGGGCGGTCACGTGTCAGGGCGAGGCCAACAGGAGACTAGAGTCTGCACCGGCGCTGCCCACTCTCATCCGCGTCCAGTCTGCCGTCGCCCTAGTGCCCAGGGCACTGCCCAACGGAGCCTGGCTTCGTGCGCACGGTTCCGGTTCCGACAGCCCAGCTCTCCAGGGGACAGCCGTGCGGTGCGCCGTGGGCCGAGCGGCGCTCAGCTGGTGCCTGACGCTTCTCCCAGCGCTCTGTTTGCTGGTCTCCCCGCCCTCAGCCTCCACAGTTTCGTTCTGCACTGCTTCATCCTCCCTGCCCTGGAAGGTCCTGGAAAGGACCGTTTCAGGGCAGAACAGGAGCAGCTGTAGCTTCCCTCCGACCCTCCTGTCTCTCAAGGCCCGGGGGTGCTGCAGAGTCGGGCAGGCAGGGACTTCGCATTGCCCAGCACGCCCTCATGAATACGGTGGATTTCCATGTACTCCACAGTTTCGTTCTGCACTGCTTCATCCTCCCTGCCCTGGAAGGTCCTGGAAAGGACCGTTTCAGGGCAGAACAGGAGCAGCTGTAGCTTCCCTCCGACCCTCCTGTCTCTCAAGGCCCGGGGGTGCTGCAGAGTCGGGCAGGCAGGGACTTCGCATTGCCCAGCACGCCCTCATGAATACGGTGGGTTTCCAGCCCTCACAGGACCGGACATTTAATGAACCTTTTCCAGCCCTCACAGGACCGGACATTTAATTCCTCAAAACCACACGAATGCTTTGTTCATTTAATAGGTATTTACTGGGCAGTTACTATACGTCACTATGGCGTGTGTTGGAGATAGTACAGCCATTAAAATCGTCCACGTGCTTACTTTACCTCCATTGCATTATAGGAGGTGTGCCAGAGAGGTCAGAGGTGGAGACAGGTGCCGGATGGGTATGATCCATAGATGGATATGATGTGTAGACAGATGGAGATAATACATAGATAGATGATCGGTGATAGACGGATAGATGATAGATAGTAGAGATGACAGATGATACATAGAAATGATACACAGTAGATAGATGATGGATAGATAGATAATAAGCGATAGATGATAGATACATAGGATGCATAGACAGATGTGGTAGCGATATTAACATAGATATGGTAGGGTACTCATGTTGGCCATGCTGCAGACTAATATGAAAGCTTTGAGGGGTGTGAGCGATGGAGTAACATCATCTGAGCTGTTACTCAGATGGATCATGCCTTTGGGGAAATAACCACAGGTGTTTGAGAGGGAGACAGAGAAGCCGATGAGGTGGCTCTGGTCTAGATACCACAAGAACTAATGCTCTCTGGGTCAGGCTGGTGGCAGGGCAGCAGGTGAGGAGTCCTCAGACTGAGTGGATGCGGAAGGTTTGTTTTCTGGTAGGGTGGATGTGGGCATGACAGAGACAGAGGTCACAGTTGGCCAAGTTTGAGCCTGAGCTCCCTGGTGAGACGCACCTGGACAGGAAGCCTGGGCAGCTGGCTGGGGAGGAGGCGGGGCATCGCTTGAGATGCTTACTTCATAGTGGGTCGAGTGGGAATCGATATCGTGAGTCTGGAATTGGGGGGAAGGTTAAAGAATAGATGAAACTTGGAGAATTATCAGACGTAAACAGTGCTAAAGTCACAGGCCCTGAGGTCTGAGTGTAAGTAGAAAAGCGGGGAACTCTGGGGAGGACGGACGACCCTGAATGGAGGTGGCGGGGGGGGAGGCTGGCCTCTGCCTCTTCACTCTTCTGGAGGCAGATCAGGTCAGTGTCAGCAACTTTGGCAGCATCTTAAAAACAACGTGGCTGTTGAGCCCTCCCCCACCTCTTAGACCAGACACCGGGCTGTTTGTTGCTGCTCCTCAGGTAATGATGGTTTTTGGTGGCCAGAGTGGAGGAGCGGGCTCAGATGCCCCAGGAAGGGCTGGCCCTGAGCCACTGGGCGGCGGGGAGTCTTCCAGGTGTCATCCCACTCAGGCCCAGCAGCGGAGGGCGGCCGGCTGAGAGTCGGTTCTGTGAAGGGTTTCACGTGGAAGCAGCATTTACAATTGGTCTAAAGAGTCGAGTTGTAGCTCAAGAGGCAGAGGTTGGCAGTTTTTTCCTTCAAGGTCCAACGGGACGCGCATCAAGCCTGTGGGCCAAGAGGCAGAGTTGAAGATTTCTGGACACTTACACAGTGAGAGAACAAACCTCCTCAGGCTTTTTATTGATGAATACCGAAATACCATAACAGAACTTTTTCCTGTAATACAAGCCTACCGATGGGAAGAATGCCGCTCTATGGGGAACATTTGCCGCTCACAGTTCAGAGTCCACGTCCCTTATCAGAGTGGGTCATGAATGTTCAGCTGCTGTCGGTGGATCCCGATGTGATGTCGCCGATTTCATCGCTGAAAATATTCTTCTGATTTAATGTCTTCAGCTATTAAAAATGTAAACACTGTCCTTACTCTGCCAGCCAAAGGACAGGTGGTGACTGCGTCTGGCCACCGTTTGCCACCGTCGTTCACTGCCTCCCTGCTCCCAGGGCTCCCTTCCCTGCACGGGAACACAGTGGTGGCTTGCCAGCCGCGGTGCTGAAACGGGGCCAGGGCGGAGGGACTGGCCGGGGCAGGCAGGCTCTGCGGCGTGGCGAGGGGGCACCAGGAAAGGCCCCTCCACCCGTGATTCGGGGCCTGGCAAGTCCTCCGTACAGCCTGAGGTCTCCTGTCCCCGCCACACGCTGCTGGCCACCTGCACCCCAGGGTGGCCTCTGCTGGCCCAAGTCCTCTTGAGCGCCCAGCCTGGTGGAACGCAGCCCCGCCCACCAACCCGAGGGGACCCGCCCTTACAAACTCACCCTTGTAGCCTGCTGAGCCAGGGGGCCCTGGCGGTCACGCCCTCTCGAGGGAGACAGGAAGGTGTGGCCGGGTGCTGTCACTGGGGCCGGTCAGAGCACTTGGTGGAGCCAACCTGCATCTGTTTGTCCCCTTTAACATGGAAGTGGCGAAACCACCGCTTTGCTGATTCAGAAAGACTCGCAAATACTGTGTAATGAATACTGTGTCTTCACAGATAAAATGTGAGCATACAGTATGGTCATGTTCTATAAGTACCCAGTCAAAGTGGACAGAGCTCATTAAACCCCCGAGATCACTCAGGACAGAGCCGGAAGAGTCGCGTGGTACCTGACCTCCAGGCCAAACATCTAACAAGCCCTGAAAAGCCAGAGCTGACTGCAAGCAGCTCACGGCCAGCTCATGCACCATGGCCACACTCACGTCCAGCAGCCCCAGCTCCTCCCAAAAACGGTAACCCATCGCTAGGGGCCAAATCAGTCAGACACAGACACGGCAAGAACAGAGTTGCCACCTTCAGACCGGCGTGTGAAAGCGCCTTTTACAGTGCTTGAGGATTGAAAGGTCAGCATAAGTGTAATAAGGGCAGGGATGGAAGGAACGAAAAACAGCCTAACGGAACTCTCAGAGCCGTCCAAGACAGCCTGTGACGTGAAACGCCCACCTGATGGTCTGAACAGCACATGTACCCCAGGGATCTTGGGGTCTCTTTGCCTGTGACGTGGGGACGACCCAGCCTTGTGCTTCAGAGCTAGGAGGACTGTGTGAGACGCTCTGACAAATAATCGCTCCTACGAGCTCGTGGAGCCCCCGCGGTGCTTGGGTGCAGAGTGCTCCGCAGACACTGGCCTTTGTCGCTTGGAGTCGTCACTCAATTCTGAGCCTCCTAGAGTTTTACTAATGAGAATCTGTGCAGACGGTTCACACGTTTTTGACAAAAATAGCCAAATATATTAAATATTATCATAGACCATTTTAAAATACATCTTTTGTTCTGAAATTTTTAATATTTTTTTTTATTAGTATTGAGATGAGTTAAGAACTACAGGGAGAAAGTACGTAATTGGGTGAATGGACCAGATTTTGTTTAAGATCCTTTGGAATCCCACGATTTTATAATTTCTAGGATTTTTGAGAATTTAGGGTTTCCCAATCTCAGAGTGAATTTAATTTATTAGAAAAATAAAGACAAAACAGTAATTGAAGCTTTCTGGTTTATTTCCTTTGGTAGGGTACGATTTGTTAATGCTCACTTGCGTGTGAGAAAAATGAAATTACAATAAATTTCTAACTTCTAATTAGTAGATGTTTTCACTAAACTCTTTTTAATTTCAGTGAATAACCCTATACCTTCCAATTTGAAATCGGAAGCAAAGAAGGCTGCTAAAATTCTCAGAGAATTCACAGAGATAACTTCCAGAAATGGACCTGATAAGATCATTCCAGGTAGGCGAATAAACCCGTACTGTTCATCTCCGAATTTGCTTCATTTTCTTAATTACGTTCCGCATTCCTGGGCCGCAGGCAGCAGGTCGCGGGCAGCACCCGGCCAAGGGCCCCCTCCAGGAAGCCTGGCCCCAAACAGCAAGTGCCTTCCACGTCCGCTTTCCTCGGACTCACCTGTCCTTCTGCTCCGTTTCCGAGGACTGCAAACTCATCTTGCAAACTCACTAGCTAATCCCAGAAATAAATTTTAATATTCGTGTTTTCTCTTTCTAGATATTTACATTTCATAGTGCTTCAGGAGAACGTTAATCAGTAATTCCCAACTTAGCTGCATATCAGTGTTTACTGACTCCTGGGCCATTAAAATACAGCCCTTACACCCCCCACCTGCTGGATCAGACCCTGCTCCCAAGCCCTGTGGCCACCTTGCTCAGGGGATGCTCTGCCGTCAGGCCCAGGCCAATGGCCTGGAACCTGCTGTGAGGTGAGCCTTTGCGAGCCACTGCCTGCTAGTTCTCAAGGGTGTGGCATAGAAATACCTGCCTCTAGCAAAGACGATTCATGTGCAAACCAGTGTGGGCGGTGCTGCTCCCAGCCACCACCGTGCCTGACGGGTCCTGCGCTGGGGAAACCAGTTTAATTTCTGATGTCAGATTCTCTGGAATACCTTAACCACACTTCACATGTCGGAACATTTTTAATTTGTTGTTACCATAATGTCAGCAGTACCGACTCACTTTGGCCCACCTGTCTTGAGAAAACAGGTTTCCTAGATCGCTGCTGCTCGGGCCCACCCAGGCCTGGAGCACCAACCCCGCTTCTCCAAAAGTGAGTTCTGGACACGTGCAAGTGTGAGACACAGTCCTTAGGACTTGAAGAAAATTCATCCAAAAAAAATGAATTTTTGGTAGCAATGTTCTGCAGTGTGAAATAAGTTCGTTTTAAAGCATGTGCTTTTGCTGTACCCATGTTCCTGAGTAGAAGCGATCCTGACGATAAACGCATTGGGAACGGAATGGGAGGTGTCGAGTTAGAGTCTGCCAACCTGTGGTTGTGCAGGTAAGCCTGTGCGGGGAGCACAGAGCTCTCGGTTGTGGTGCAGTATGTTCACGACCTTTTACAATATGAACCAAGGTCGCAGGCCGCTGTCTGAGAGGCCACCTTCATTTCCTAAGAAGTTGTGCTTAGTTACGAAGGACTCTGCAGACGCCCAGGGTCGCTGCTTCATGCTGGTGCGCGAATTATCTGAGCATCTGTTATTGATTTAAATTTTGAAATCGTGTATAATTGTATTAGAAAGTTCATATTTTTCTAGGGACACCTACAAAGCCTCTTTTGTGTACTTGGGTACAGTATCTGGATTGACTTCCTTGACAGTATTTAACTAAAGCGATGATAAGTCAAACTGCCTTAAAAATGATATTGGGGCCCCCGAAATGACTTCCACCATTCAGGTTTTCCTCGTCACGTGAAAGGTGCCCTGTTGTATAAATCACGGGATGCTGAGGTGCCACGTTCAGCGGGCGCGTACATCAGTCAACCTCACTTTACGTGGCAAACTTCTCTGAAATGTGCACAAACCTGCACTTTGTGAATTGAATCGTGTTTCCAGGGCACTTCTGGTTATGTTACTCAAATAGTCTAACCCATCAATTTATAAAGTTGAAAACATCTTAAAGCGGCAACATCACTTAGTTTTCCGTCTTTGAATCCAGATTCTCACGTTAATGAAAGGCTGACTGTACGGCTTGAAGGTCGAGGTTCTGCGGCACCCCGTCGCGTTAACGTGCTACACTGTACGGATCTCGGTTTCTTGGAGAAAAATAACTTTAAATTGTGAATTATAGTCTAAATTAATGGACATCGCCAAGTTATTTGCCCTGCTACTAGATATCAGTAAAATCTCATCCGAACCTCTTATTGGTCATGGCGGTTGCAGGACCTTTGAGCACTTATGACGCAGGGAGAGGCGGGGTCGGAGGCCCAGCCGTCTGCTTCATGGTTAACTTTCCTTCCCGCCTCCCCCGACCTCTGACGTTTTCCCCCAGTGCCCGAGGCCTGTGTGGCGGGGTCTGTTTCACACTCACCCACGCACTGTCTTTACCTCCTGCAGCCCACGTGATCGCCACGGCCAAGGGCCTCGCCGTTCTGTCTGTGATAAAGGCTGGATTTCTGGTGACTGCCAGAGGAGGCAGTGGGATCGTGCTGGCACGTCTTCCAGATGGAAGTAAGTCGATGTTTCTTCCCTCGGCAGAGCAGAGGGTCTTAATTCTCCGTTCTGTGTGCAGTTTGAGCAGCTTTGCAGGGAGCGTCACGGTTCCCAGGCCCCTGACACTGTCCTCGGCGCCATGGGCCTGAATGACCAGGGAGACGGGACTCGGCAACCCTCCTCTCCCCTTAAAGAGCCGGACGAGACTGCGCAGATCCGGCCTCGTCCTCGGTGCATTGTGCCGATCCTTCGTGGAGCAGATGTTAAACACGACGATATTTGCGTTTCTGTCGTTAGATAGGGACCCTTAGTCCTCAACTTCGTGATGCACCAGTTTTCTTTTGTTTTACGGAAGTAAGAAAATAAGTGTCATCCGTAAGCTTTTCTGCTGTTCTCATGACAGATACCAAAATCCGAAGCATGTTAAAGAGTATCCCCAAGGCAGAATCATATCCAGATCTGTACAATTTGGTTTTACTTTCTTAGGCGAAATCTAATACTTGGTTTTCTAGAATCAAAATTAAAATATATCTGCCGTGAATCCCAAGAACCAACATTTACGGTCATATTTAAAATGTACATTGCAGTGTTATAACTGACTGAAATGCTTTTTATACCAATTTAACGTGCTGTTCAGTCATGTAAGCGAACGCATCTTTCTGTAAATAATTATTTTTTCTGTTGATAATGTGATTTTATTTTGAGAGAGAGCATGGGCCATTCACTGACCGAGGACACACCGGTGTTTGTGGGGCGCGAGGCCCTGGACTGTGGCGGGGGGCACTGCCTGCTGAGAGCCCACAGTGCATCTGACGCTGCGGCCGAGCTCGGATCACAGTGCAGGGCCCTGCTCCAGGCCGTGCTGGCGAGTGGTCTGTGCAGGAGGCCGCCCGGGCCCTAGCCGGGTTCCTGCCGGCACTGGGGCACCAGCAACCTCGGGGCGGACCTCCCAACCGCAGGGACCGCTCCGCTGGGTTCAGTACCTGCCTCACTCACACCCTCGCCCCGCGAGGGTGACCTGAGCGTTTCCCCTGCGTCCCGGTGACAGGGGTCGGGGACAGCCCCTGACAAGATGTGGAAGCTAGCTTTGGGACTGTAGACACGCGTGTCTGTCGTCACAGCCTTGCTGAGCCTGCAGAGGTCAGTCCTGGACCTGCCCGGGCTACATCTCACCTCCCGGGGCACGTGGGGCAGGGACCGCTGGGCGCAGGGAGTGGAGGGCGCGTCAAGAAGTGACCTCACCTGCGCTCTCCCGCTCTCCCTCCACCAAACTAAGTTTTTCCCAACTTCTTAACCTCACTTTTTATATCAGAAAAAATAAGCATATAATAGTCCTGAAGTGTATAATACCATGGCAAATGGAATAATTGTTCTTAGTTTCCAAAAGTAAGGAAATTTATCCCATTAGAATTTTAATAATCTTGAATTTATAGCATATTTCTCATGCTTCTACCAGACATAAAGGCTGTTGAAACGGTTTAGCCCTCAGAAAGTTAAACCAGAAGCAGTTTGGTGGTGTGTCCCCTCACGAGCGGTCACGATAAACTCTGTGAACGCTTTTGTTCTCTTATGACAAAACTCTAAGTAAAGACTAGAATTACTGCTCAGTTACTTCATAAAATATTATGAAATATTGGCTATTGGAATTGTCAAATGCTATGTATGTTGGGGAGAATTCAGTAGTTTGGTATCGGACACGTTTTACCGAGAAAGATTAGAAAACGGATTGTGAGCCTGAGAGACCCACAGTGAATATCTAACGCCTTATACATGCTTATTAAAGAACATTTAAAAACAGGTGGGAATGCCAGATTCTTACTATTTTTAAAAGAAACACGGTTCGTTCTCATTTTAGCATTTGTCCTGCTAAATGCTACCTACCTGACAAGGGGTCGTAAAGCTAGAGTGACATTCATTTGTTTGTTTGTCTTTCTCTAGAGTGGTCAGCGCCTTCAGCCATTGGAATAGCCGGCCTTGGCGGCGGGTTTGAGGTCGGAATTGAGGTGAGCTGGGGTGGCGCACACACCGTCGCCACGTTCTCTGAAAGCACCTGAAATGTAATAAGTGAAAGTCAGATGTCCACTCTCTCATTTCACCAGAGACGGAAGCAGTTCCCTTTGATTTTCTTGATGACTCTCCACCTAAAACTACCTAACGTTTACCATTTCTTTCCTTTTCTTTCGTGTGAAGTAGAATCTTTTTCATTCTGCATCTGCTTCCGTCTTTAGCACATCTGCACATAGCCATGTCTCAGATACGACAGTGCTGACCGGCTGACCAGTTGGAGGCTCTGGGCTCCGCGGTGGCCGTTGACCACGCCAGGGCTCGGCATTGCCGGACAGGTGGCTGGACACGGTGACCCATCATTTGTGCAAAAACCCAGTTTTGTTACAACTAATGTTCAGAGTACTTCAGATTCCCGAGTAAAGGTCGACTTCGTGTTGTTCCCTTTCGTGACTGTTCCTGACGGCTGGCGTGGTGTCTGTCACGTGGGGTGGAAGTCACGCGAAGTGCACAGGTCCATCTTCCATGTGACGCTGAGGACACTCTGCCAGGTGGCGAGTCGCAGCGAGCGACAGGCCACTGTCCCACACCCCCGAGCGCGTGCGAGGCTAGGCTGTGCTTTGGGATCTGTCTCGAGTAGCATTTATCTCAAAAATGATGTGAGACCAAGCAATAGCTGCAGTACAGTGACTGTATCCGAGACTAAAAATGAGTGTCCGCTAAGATGAGGGTGAGTGTCCGCTAAGTGAGGATGAGTCTCCGCTAAGTGAGGATGAGTCTCCGCTAAGTGAGGATGAGTCTCCGCTAAGTGAGGATGAGTCTCCGCTAAGTGAGGATGAGTGTCCGCTAAGTGAGGATGAGTGTCCGCTAAGTGAGGATGAGTCTTTGCTAAGTGAGGATGAGTCCCCGCGAAGACTCGTCGTCGTCTGAGGTGGGACATGAACGATGCTGCTGCCATGTGCCTCTGCTTTCCAGCACATAGAGAGCTCTCAGGGAATCGACTCATACGTTAGGGATTTGTTGAATATCTTATCTGCCGTTCGTTTTTAGAATAATTAACAATAATAATTAACGTTTTCATAAAAATTTCACATATGTCCTATAGAATCATTTCCACACCAGGGCCCCAGAGGACGGTGGTCAGCACTCTCGTTTCATAGAAAAATACCTGAGTTGAGTTCCCTGGCTTTCCCGGAGGACAGAGCAGAGAGGGCAGGTTGGTCGTTCACAGGGAGGCTTCTGGTCCCAGAGCCAGCCGCGGGGCTGTGCAGCATCGGCGCTACCCCCAGCAGGGCGCCCTGTCTGAGCACTTTCCACAGGGGCGGGGGGGCGGGGCACCGGGAAGGCAGGTGGTGTCTCCATTTCATGGCGTTTGGGCGAAAGTGAGCACTGAGCCCCCTCACTGCAGCGCCCCATCCAGCCCCGGCTGGAATGTCCATCTGTACACACCGTGGCTTTTGGGGCACCGCGTGCGGTGGGCAGGGGACACGGGATGACATCAAGCGTCTGGCCTAAGACCACACAGTGAGTGCGCGGGTGTTTTTGGGCTCAGCAGAGATGGGGCCCGAGACAGGCGTGGCACCCTGATTTAGTGAGCAGGAGTTCTTGGAGAAAAACGGGACAAGGGATGAACTACAGTCCCGGGCGAACGCTCCCTTGTCTGGTGACGGAGAGAAGGCTCACTGCAGGGTGGAGTCGTTGTGCTTCGAGGCGTGGGGCTGGCTTTGGGCACCCCAGTTCTGACCTCCATCAGCACCTGGGGGGCGGGGGTGCCTGCTGGTGCAGGGCTGGGGACCAGCGATGCCACCACGGTGAGGGGACCGAGGCCCGTCTCCTGAGTCCTGGACACTCAGAGACCTCCTGGCCCACCATGCGTCCCCACAGGCGATGACACGTGTAGCACATGTGACTGAGTGTGACCATTGGGGAGTGTGCAGTCATGTTCCTTTTCGGGCCCTAGACCAGGAGAAGGTTCTGTTGGCAGGCCCGCTGCTCTTCGGCCTGTCTGTGGGGTCTTCGAGCTGGTGTCGCGGGAGGACACGGGACGGTCTTCCCCACGTCAGAAGAATGGAGCTGTGCTCAGACAGAAAGTTAAAGGGCTGATTATTTTCTCTGACTGGCACAGTTTTGCTTCGCTTAGTGTACTGAGGACACGTAACTGTCTGCACGACCCGGGCCAGGGAGCTGAGCTTCCCGGGGCGTCCACACCAGTCCTGACGCACAGCGGTTTGTACCGCCCCCTAAAAATGTACACAGACGTAGATCACACAGCCCTCGGCAAAACTCAGCTGTGCCTGAGAAATGCTAAGTAATCCTGTACCATTCAACACCATGATCCTCAGAAGTCGCCACCTGTCAACAGCAAGTACCACTGGATGGGAGTCGAGGTGAGGTGTTTCACGTGGGTCAGTTAGCTGGCGTATTTACTTTGTCCTGTGAAACTTGAGTGTATTTTTTTAAATTAAATGATTAAACATTTATTAAGAATCTGCTTGTGTCGGGAACTCCTTTAGGTCCCGTCAAGTGCAGACTCACTTGGGAATAAAAGTGTTCTTCTGTGGGCCAGCTGAAAACATCCATTTGAAAATACTTAGAAGATTTAAAGAACTGTATAAATTAAGGCATCTTTAAAACGTCAGTCTGCTTGGCCTTTCCGTATTTTATTGAGACGTGGCAAACATGCCAGGCTTCAGAAATGATTTTGATTCACCCTTCAAACAGCCTCATATTTGTGTGTACACATATGAACACACACACACGTACATCTTTGTAAGTGTGCTTACTATTCCTGTACCCGTTGTAGTTTTTGAGCTGCTCAGTCACTCGCCCAATGTCGCACAAAATGCAAGAGGCAGGAGGGATGGAATTCACACCCAAATACTTTCAATTTCGACCCCAGCTTCTTGTCTTCATGCCATCATGCCTTTGATTTTCCGGGTACGCTTGATGCGTGGGTCTGGTCTTCACAGTAGTTCAGCGAGGTGCGCCCCATTATTCAGGTTTTAACGTGGAAAGGTCAGAGGCGCAAAGGCAGCCTCAACCGCCCAGGTCCCACAGCGCCTGAGAAGGGGGTTGGGGTGAGACCGCGTCAGTGTGACTGGGGGGCGCGCCGGAGCCACCGCAGACACCCCTGGAGCGCACTCCCCGCGGTCCCTGCCCTTCCTGAGGACCGACCTCGGGGGGCAGGTGTTCTCTGTAGTTCGAACCCCCGGGACTTAAGTTGAGCTTGCCGTGTGCCGGTCCCTACTCGTAGGCGCGCGGCCTCGCCAGGGACATCAGAGTGGGGGTTGTCCCTGGGCCTTCGGCTGCACACCCCGTCATGGCGTCTTCGGCTCGGCTTTCTTCAGATTTGGTTTTGCTTTAATAACCTCGCGTTGGCCCGCTCTGGTGATCACTGTGACCGTTGACTCACCCTCACCAACCCCCGTCAGCACCTGCGTCAGCAGGCTGCTGAGAACACGGGGCAGTGTGCACAGCGACCGCCCAGAGCTGTTCCGCGTCGTCGCCCGCAGAAGCCCTCGTTGCTGACGCCCTCAGCTCAGAATGAGGGTTCGACTCCTCTTTCATATTCGTTCTGTCTGCGTTGAAATTCCTGCTACGTTATATACAAGGCGTTTGAGTTTTCATCAGTATCTGCTTTAAATAATATTTAAACAATTATTTTTTAAATAAATGGGTTTCTGTGTTTTAGGTATCAGATTTGGTAATAATTCTGAATTATGACAGAGCAGTAGAAGCTTTTGCAAAAGGGGGTAACCTGACACTCGGAGGGAACTGCACTGTGGCCGTGGGGCCTTTGGGCAGGTGAGTGCTGCAAGGTGCTTTTGAACAGCTGCAGAAAAGGGTGAAAACTTGCACATCGTTGTGCGTTAAGAGAAAAGATGATTTAAAATGAAACAAATTCATGATTCGTTTCTGTTATATTTGTTGTATCTCCCAGAAGGTTTGAGATTGGTTACAAATACAAAATTTACAAAACACAGCCGGTGTGATGCAGTGAGAAAATTTGAAACTACACACGCAAAAAGAAAGGAAATATTTCTGAAATGTAGGCCATTGTATGTACTGAGATTTCTTTAATATAAAGTTTACATTAAGCTTTGGAGGAGCTAAAGCAAGTCTAATTTAATTTACTGATAAAGGACAATGTTGATCAGAAAACAAAAGGCCCCCTTTCCAACGAAATTCTGAAAAACTGAAATGGAAGCATTTTACTTGAGAGTCGTTAAAAATACTTACGTCGGACTTCCCTGCAAGTACTATTCTTGCATTAATTGAGCCATTTAGAAATATTTTAAACCCAGACTGTTTATAGAAGTTACACAGTGAAATCATCTAAAAACGTTTCTAAGGCCCATGAAAATACTCAGTGTGAAGAGTCCACAGTCTGCTACTCTCGGGCTGTATTTCCCTGTTTTGGGGAAGGAAGACGAAGTTGGAAATAAAGCTTTAACGTGTTCTGCACAGCGCAGCCCTGTGGGTCATCACGGCCTTCAGTAGTGTGTCCTCCCCCACGATCTGTCCTCTGTGCCGCTGTGAACACGTGCAGCTGAGGCCGCCAGGACCTAAAACATCCGCAGGCCAGGGAAGTGGCGGTGGCCTGTCCCACGCGGGCCGGCAGTGCAGCCGCCCACTCGGGTCTGAGGTGCAACGCCCTCTGTCCGCAGGAACCTGGAAGGGAACGTGGCCCTAAGAAGCTCGGCTGCCGTCTTTACCTATTGCAAGTCGAGAGGACTCTTTGCCGGCATAAGTTTAGAAGGCAGCTGTCTGATTGAAAGGAAAGAAACTAATCGAAAGTAAGTGCAAGCTAGGTGACTTTAATTGATTTAAAGACAGCGTCATGAGAAAATACTACTTCATAGATTTGTATTGTGGTTCTTCTGAGTTTAGAGTACCTTCGTATATTTTCTAAACTAACAACATATGGCTCTGAGAGTGAATTTGTTTACTTAAAAATTCAATATGAAATAATATGTACTTATTGAAAATTTGGGAAACAAAAAAAGTTAAAAAGGAGGAAAAACATTTTACCCTTTAAAATGAACTATTCACATTTCGCTTTGTTGCCTTCCAACATTTTCTTAAGCTTAATTTTTTTTTGTTTTGCCATATGTGATTGTATCGTAATCAATTCAATTGTAAATTTTATTTTTCCACTTAATATTATAATATTAGAATCATAAATGTAAGTTAATGGCTACATAATATTTTATTTGATGAATCACATTAACTATATTTTCAAACGTGCAGAGGTACACACCAGTTACAACTTCTGGGTCAACCAAATGTTTCTCATTAGGAGAGGTTTCCTGATAGCGCACTTTGCCCTTATCTTTCTTCCCTAAAATAGAGACCAGTTTTGACTTAAAAAAAAAAAAAAAAGGATTTGGAAGTACCCTAACAGGCTAAGAGGAACTTCCACTTTAACCTGGCATCGGGCTATTTTTTCTAGATCTTCCAAATTTCCTCTAAAATATGTCTGATTGCCCAGAAAAATAAAAAGCTAAGACCAGGCTACTTGCAGAACCTGGCAGAAATCCCACCGGTTGTGAGCCCGATGGCGCTGGCACGGCTGAGGGTTTGCAGCAGACAGACTCACCTCATAAGAGAGAGCAGAGACAGTTCGCTGAGCATGCAGCTGCACACCTGGAGACACAGGTGGTAGACCACAGGAGCCGGAGGATGGGAGGGGTGGGGGAATCCAGGTTTGTGGAGCTCTTCATCTCATAGAGATGGCAGTTTTACTCCTGGTTTTATAAATTTGAGAAATACAAGTTAGGAATGCCTTTAGGAACTTCTAATTCTAGGCCTTCGGAGGACTTTCCAGCCAAATGTCACTTAAATTCTGGGTAGACTAAAAGGGACATCCCTCCTCAGCTGCAGGGCTTCCAACATGTGTGGCAAATCATACATAATTTTGAAGCAAATGCACATTTTAAAGAAATTACAGAGTCGTGTATGTGAGCACAATCCTTGGGTTAGGACTATTAAGGAACTTGTAAACCTGTGAGACCGCGTGTGCCTGCAGGTGTCTCCGCAGATGTGTGTGTGTACGTGCATGCGCATGCATGTGTATGCACAGGTGTGTGTGTGTGCGTGTGTTTGCAGGAAGGGTGGGCATGTCAGACCATTGATGGTGGCCGCCTGCAGCGGTGAGCCTGGGGTGAACCTAGGGTTTCCCGTGGGCGGTGGCTGGTAGTTAGTGTGTGTGAAGCAGCTACAAGAAGTAACCACACACACGTCCCCCCGTAACTGTAGAAAAGATCTATGTCTATAAACTGTGATATTTCTTACCAGATTTTACTGTCAAGACATCCGAGCTTGTGACATTTTGTTCGGAGATGTTCCACGGCCCGCTCAAGCGGAAGACCTTTATGAAATTCTGGATTCCTTCACTGAAAAGTTTGAGAACGAGGGACGACGGATCAGCGCGAGGAGGGCGGCGAGGGGGCAGAGGAAGGCCGCCGCGGTGCGCGGTTCCCGCTCTCCTGGGGGGTCACAGGGCGCGCCCCGTAGTGTTCTGGGACCCACGGGACGGCCCCTGTCAGTGCGTTCACGGGAGGTGCCGGTGAAATGTCATACACACGGGGCCGGGGAACCTTGCTGTCCCCATGGAGGCCTCCCTCCCAGGATAGAGCGTGACCCCGATGCCTGAGGCGGGAGCAGCTGCTGACAGTGACCCCTCTGGGTGCAGGCTCTTGCGTCCCCAGCTCACCTAGTTCCCCAGCACCCTGTCAGAGTCACTCAGCCCCCAGCGTACGGAGTGAAAACTGACTCGGTCGTACTTGTCACTGCCTCTCGCAGTCACCGCGATCCTGTCCCGTGCTGGTCATCGCGGGGTGCCTGGCTGAGGTGCACTCCTGTTGCAGAGCACCCCACCCTGTCGGCATCTGTATGTTATCAGCTCAACCCAGTGCAGCCCAGCGAGTCCACGCGGGCGTCCGGCGCCTCGTCAGCGAGTGCCCGCACGTGCTCGTTAGGAAAAAACGCCTTCGGAGCTCCTGAGCAAAAACGCGGTTTAAGATCATGTGCTTTTTTTTCCCTTGCAGGTGAAGGAACTGTCTCCAAAACCACGGTCAAGACCACAGCAGTCACCTGCACAAGTCCAAAGTCAGTATTTTTGTTGCAATCTGAATACAATTATAATTAAGCAGTCATTAGATATTATTGTCAGGAAATCAAGCTACATTGTTAAACTTTAGAGTTAAAGAGAGAAAAACAAATGTCAGCCTCTTCTAGACACCTGAGACAGAATCGCATGCTGTGATTCGTTAAAATGTCTGTTCTCATTCAAAATGCATTTGCTCCCAGTTAGAGCTTTGTCTTTAAAGTGTTTCTCATGTGTCTTTCTGCCAAGACTGCCAACTTAAAATGGGAACAAAATGAGACTGTTTTTCTTATATACTTACAGATTTATATATCTGAATATTAATTTTATCATAGATGCTTGGGAGCTCAGGATTTCATAAAGTGGCTTTAAAATCAAGTAAGTTTAGGCAGCAGCATGTTTTGGCCTTTGCCCCCTTTCGGTCACTTGTTTTTGTGACAGTCACTGTTGGAATTCCGCTTTTCCTGGATAGAGGTCACTGGTGAGTGGCACTGTATTTGCTGGTACTGTCTCAGGTACCACCCATTGTCAGGCAGGGGGCGCTGTGCTGTGGCTTTGGGGCACAAAGGGGACCCTGGCGCATATCCTGCACTGCAAGGCCTCTCAGCCCCGCTCAGTCCCGGAGGGCAGACGTCAGCCGTGGGGCTGTAGCCGCAACCCCGGGGCTGTAGCCGCGACCCCGGGACCGTAACCGAGACCCCCGGGCAGTAACCCGGACCCCGGGACTGTAACCGCGACTCCGGGGCGGTAACCCGGACCCCAGGGCGGTAGCCGCGACCCCGGGACCGTAACCGAGACCCCCGGGCAGTAACCTGGACCCCGGGACCGTAACCGCGACTCCGGGGCGGTAACCGGACCCCGGGGCGGCAGCCGCGACCCCCGGGCGGTACCCGAACCCCTGGCAGACCTACGGGCGGGGAGCCGCGTGAGTCCAGCCGCGCGTCGCAGAAGGCTCGCGCCCCCCACCCGCCCGTGCACCTGCGCGTCTCCTGGCCCGGCCCCGGGCCGTCCGAGTGTCCGCTCCGGGAGGGCCCGCAGACCAGACCCGCCGCCCCTGACTCGGTCCGTGCCGTGCTCTCGGGGGGCCGCACCGTCTTCCGAAAGGGGCGTCGGCTTCTGCCTCGCGCCCACTCACGTTCCCAAGGAGTCGCGTGCGGTTGCTCCGGGCCTGAGTGCGCACGTGAACTTGACCGCGTGTGCGTTCTAAAGTGCGCGTTTCGGAAAGCCCCTTGCCGGTGGCGGAACGGACGCCCGCGCCCGCCAGGTGTAAACCTGCGCAGCCGCCGGGTGTCGCCCGCAGGGCTCACAGAGACCCGGTCACTGGCAGGGTCCCCGCGGCGGCCGTTCCCAAACCTGCGT